AGCCGAAGAAGGTTACTACAAGGTTTAGGTGGAACAAGACTCAAAGAGCGAGGCATGTAGAGAGCAAGAGTAGCGTGGTTGGGGTGGTGTTCGGCTCGATTCTCTTGGATACGGGGCAAAAGGGCAAGGGCTCTACAGGCCAGCCAACCGAGCTTATCCTTAAGAAATTAGAAAGTTACGTTTTCATCCTGCATGTGCTGGACGCACGTGCCGCTGCTGCTCGTAGGTACCGATACCGCAGCCACCTATACCGACTCTCTTTCCCATAAGTAATAAATACGAGCGTACGTACCCATGCACGTGTAGCGTTTTAGCTGGGGAAACAGATACTGGGTACAGGTACTATGCTACGCTTGCGCCTCCAGTGTATGTATTATGTAAAGGTACGCTCGACGCGTAGCAAAGCATGTATACGTGCAGTAGTTGCTTCCGTGTGTATATTATACCGTGTGGTGCGCGCACGTAGCTGCGGTAAAAAGAAGTTACGGTATGGTTACGGTAATCGTAGAGCCAAGCGTGTACGTGTAATATGCGGGGACTCGCTCCGATAAGTTTCGAATTAATTAAAGATTCATGGTGCTCGTGTTGTTGCCGTGACTTTGATTCATTTCTTAGCACGTGTCCGCTCAATCCTGCCAATTGATTCTTTATCCTACATAAGATTTATTACGTACCGTGTATGTATTTCTATCGGGTGGATAACACCTCTCTCACGCTTTTTTTTTGTTTTTGTATGTATTGTGATAGTTGAATATCAAGTACTTTTTCGAGTACTTTTTTCCTTACTGTTAATCTGTTTTTTATTTCGTTATCTGCTGTTTGAAAGGTTGTTTCACACGATTTCTTAGCCATAATATCACTAGCCCTTTTGTCTTAAGAGACTTTTGTCAGTTGAGTACATTCAATTCATATTAAATTTTTTGTAACTTTGATATCATATAAAACTGCTGATGTTGACAATACTCACTTGACTACAATATTTTTAGATGAAAATTAGTCCCAAAGTTAATTCTTAAAATTTACATTTCGAGTTCCACTATATATTTTTTAATGCAATACACGTAATATAGTATAATAACGATGTCTAATTTAAAGAGCAATGTGATTTATATAATTTATTACTTCAAGATAACAATCTTTATATTTAAAAGGTAAGATAATGTTTTTTCCTGTAATTTTTTAAGTAAAAAAGTAAAAAAAATTACGAAAATGATAAAAATATTTTTTAATGTAAACTCAGAAAAATTTTTTATAAATTTTATCGTTAATGCCCATAAAAATTACCGTGCGGAACGGTAAACGTGGGACTACTGAGGTCATCACTCCGGACTTTTTACCTAACTTTAACAATTTTTACCATTACGCCCAGTAAAAATCATCGGGCACCAAACTCAAATTTCCCTTACGACTCACGAGCCTAAGTTCACTGTAGGTAAAACAGAGACCACAGTTAAAGTATTTGTTGTCAGTACAAGATGCGACAAAAAAAATTTTTTTTTAAGTACTTGATTATAGTACGATATCACTGTTATTTATTTATTTATTTTTTTTATAATGTGACCGGTTAGACATTGCACCTTTTTAAATAAATATTTCCTTACAATAATTGAAATGTATCAATTAAATTTATTAAAAGATTTTTAAGCTAAACTGATTTGACGTTACAAGCGGAATGCCCGATATACATAATATTTTTAAAGAATGTATATAATATGATAAAGAATGTATGATACTATAATAATTTTATTGCTTCAAAGACAACGAAATTCAACTACGGTCTCTGTTTTACCTACAGTGAACATTCGCTCGTGAGTCGTGAGGGGAATTTTTGTTAGGCACACGATGATTTTTACTGGGCGTAATGGTAAAAATTGTTAAGGTTAGGTAAAAAGTCTGGAGTGACGACCTAGTCCCACGTTTACCGTTCCGCACGGTAATTTTTATGGGCTATTACAATAAAATTTATAAAAAATTTCGCTCAGTGTAGAACAAACGAGTTAAATTTACCTATAATGTTACAAATATTTTTAAGTCTGCTTTTTATCAAAATATTTAGTAAAACTCGAAATATATTCAAAAATTGGTTCTCATTGAAAATCTTGACGGGTGATTTTTGTTCCTTAAAAGTGCATACCGGGTCATAAAAAAATTCTTATCTTTTATTTTTTTGTATACTACAAAACACAAAAACGTCTTTGAAATTGGTGAGCTAGGATTTGAGTGGTTTCCTCATGAAAGAGCCAAGTAGCGCAATAATAACATTCTGGTAAATCATGTGAAATTAAAAAAAATATTTTTAAAAAGCAGCATCACTACTTAATGTACAAACAAACCAAAATAATAAAAATAAGAGACTACCGTAGTGCAGTAGAGCAAAGGTGAATATTATGAAAAAAAACAATAAAAAAGTAAGACTGTAAATCTTATGCAGAAATCATTTGTTTTATGTACTGTGTCTCTATACCTCAACCATAACTTTCAAATAATTTAATGACCCTTTGCTTGTTATCGTTACATAAGTTATACGTTTGCTCTACGAAAAATCTAAAAAGAGCTACGTTAACTAATGCCTTGATTCAAGTGAAATAGTGATCCATTCTTTCATTGACTTTTTTTGACGTTGGTATATCCTTGAGTGAAGAAAACAAAAATCGAAACAGAGGAAGGGAGGTCAGTAGCAACACAGTGAGTACTCTACCACCTGCTTTATCTCATTCGATTTACTTAACTGCGTGTATTTACTTTTCCGTTCAGCTGGATCGGACAGATGCATTTTCCTTGACAACCGAGCAAAGAGTGGAGGAAGAGAGAGAAAGAAGGAGACTCGGTCAAAGGCAACTTGTCTGCTAACTTCAATCCTCGTGTTGAAGTACTTTTACAGAACCTCTTTTTCTCTTTTTCCTGATGCATTGACTCCATTTGAAAAAGACGCGAGTAGCAATCAAGCTCTACATTTTACATTGTACGTGTATCTCTTTTGCAAGGAGTATCGTTTCTGATCTTCAAAGGCGTCATTTTCTCCTTTTGTAAGACATTTCCCTTTCTCATATTGTATCCATGCATGCTCAAATTTCGGGATAATCCTAAAAGCTTTTTTTCACTACAGTTGGTATTTAAGGAACTTTTTTATACCGTTTGGAAACTATCTAAGTATTGTTATTTATAAAATATGTTTTAGAAATTGGTCACTTCTACTTTTCATTCGGAATTCAATTAAAAATGTTGGAATTCTCAATTTTTGGACACGTTTAATTTTTATAACTTTCGAATAGTTAGAAATACATAATATATTATTTCAAACATCTTCTTCAAATGTCTTCTTTTCCAACGAGCTTAGTTAAAAAAATTTGCAAAGACCTTTTTAGCTTTAAGTAAGCGAGACAGTTAAGAAAAAAAATTTGTTTTTTAAACTGAGAAAAAAGTTAATAGTAAAAATTAGTTTTTCCCAATAAAAAATGCGATCTATGTAAATAACAAAATAAAAATTAATTTAAATATTGGCTCTTTAAACTATATTTTTTCAAACTCATTTTCAAATTCATCCACTTTTCGTGAGTCTCATCCAATTACAAACGAATAAAAAAGGTTTCAGTCACGTGACAATCAATCTTTTAAGATAGGATAACATATTTTGTTCAACTGCCTTTATCAACTCTTAACGCTTCGGTATTTGCAAAGGTAAAAATAAAAATAAAAAATAAAAAACGTAAAATCTTACATTGCTGGTTTTTAAATAAATATTTTTACAGCTAAGCACTCAGTAAGTTTGATAGTTGCTTAATTTTTATGGCTGTTTATAATTTATTTTTGTTTTTTAGTATACGTTACAATTAAAGCAGAAGCAGAAAATCTAACAGACAAATCATATTTTTTGTGTTAAGTGGTGTTGTTTATTCTAAGTCTCTATAATCCTGAAGCGTTCAAAATGTTGAGAAAACGACGTACTCACTGTGAATGACGATGATTGGATTTTAAGCTTGAAAACATAATATGATTAATTGATTAGAGGTTCGAAGAACAGCAATAAATATTACAAGTAATAAACTGGTGTTAGAACAAAATTATTTTATTTATTTTCTTTTAATGACAACGTTTCAACTAAACGTTGACAGAGCTTTGTAAGTCATTAAATTTAACAAAAATAAAGATTTACACCCAACAGCTACAATACGAAATTACATTACTAATAAAATTTAATTTATAACTTACAAACATATTAAGATATACAAAGCAAAGTCGAACAATGTTAGTCATTATCTTTTCTTGTTTGTAGCAATGAAATAAATAAAAGTATGACTTGGTTCGAGTATTAGACTAATTTTTATTATTTAACTTTCAAACAATATCAGATAAAATGTTCAAAAACTGTAATAAAAATACTACAAAAAAAATTATAATTCTGTCTGATATTCAAAATCCATAAGCTTTTGCAGTTCGCCTTCATTTAATACAAGGTATAAATATATATATGTATATATATGTCATTACTACGAGCAAGAAAATAAATTGACTAATATTGTTTGACTTTGATTTGTGTGTCTTAGTAGGTTTGTCAGTTATAAATATCATTTTAGTGCAGTTGAAACGTTGCGATTAAATGAAAATAAATGGAACATCGTCGCCCTTAACACTAGTTTATTTATTTATTTATAACGCAAATAAGTTTTCTATGTTCGTGAATGTTCATCATAATATTTAAACCTAAATCTTATCATATATGTATACATTAAAGTGTACGCAAAAGAATAATGCTGTGTGTAAACATTGTTTATAATACAATGAGAATTGAAGGGTGTTAAAAATATTAAAATAATTTATTTCACGTAAAGAAAATTTTTTGACAGTATTAAAGTTTAAATATCTAAATATGAGAGTCAGTAGTATCAGCTGTACTCCGTTATGTTTCTAAGTTTTTTTTTTCTTCTTAAATTTCAACAAATATCAAATACATTTTTGATTCTTAAGGAGTAGTAAAGAAAATTATTTGACATATAATAAAATTGTATTTCAGCAAATAGTATTTATTTTATGAATAGTGCAGTAGCATTGAATAGTGACAGTATTATTTAGTAAAAAGTTGTGTAGTAAAGATCTCTCCTTCAAAATCTTCTGTTGTACAAAAATAAATAACGAAATCAACGTAAGTAACAATAAATAAGATTATTACAATCTGTCTCCAATGCACTGCAAAAGAGGTGCTCTTTAACCCATGCACTCTACACCCACTCATTTACATTTACACTCTCAAATTCCCTAAGGAGATACAGTTTTTTTCGTAGCATAATTAAGACCACCACGTGAAATTTGGTCGTCTAGTTGTTTTTGAACAGTACATCTTTTATTCTCGCTGTACCACTTTGACATAGCGTAGATTTTCTTTTGTCCAGTATTAATTACCTGGCACAAATCACAGATAACCCGCTGCTTGGGCGAGATGATGCGATAATGACGCTTCCAGTGAAAATATTTTTTGTACGCCCTCACATCTTTCGACAGCAGAATCAGATATTTGGCCAGTTCCTGCGGTGAATCGAAGTCCAGCGCATTTATGTAAGAGTTTGGAGGTGCAAAGCGACTGTAATTGGCTCCACCATAGACTACTGGAACGACACTATGGCTAAAATAAAAGATATAATATTTAAACACATTTTTAAAATTTAAATTATCATGATTTTAACATAGATCTTTTACTTTTGAAATTTTGGAATGTAAAGTAAATCATAAAAATTGAGTGGGATATGTAAGATTTGATATTAGTCAATATTATGAAATATTTTGAGGATAAGGTGATTGAGTATATACAATTAGCAAGAATAAAATATATGCCGTGAATGAAAGATGTTCAAGATGTATGCAAAAAATTCGAATAAGGCAAAACATATTGAAAATGTGTAGAAACCAATAAGTTGGTCATTTATTTTAACAAAATTATATTTTTATTCCTTATTTGACAAATTAGAGTGTTGGTTGTAAAAATAAAACTGATTTGGCTTTATCGACATGGAGATATATAAATAAGCACTAATATAAACAGGTATCAAAAATTGATGTAAGTTTATACCTTAAATGAAATAAGAAAAAAAAAGATACAAGTACTACACTTCATTAAAAAATAATATCAGCTTTCCGCATATCGATTTTCACTATTGTTGCTAACACCTTTTCAGATTGTTGCTGAACATATTTTTATTTTTAATGAACGTGCCTTTTCTTTTCTCACTCGTATGATAAGCACGGTACTTCGGAGTCATTATTCGAGTATAGTTGTTGGAAAGTGTAATAACTGTAACATTAAAATTACAAACATATTTATTAGGTTGTCATACCCATAAGAACAACTGTATCCGTTGAACACCGTAAGAAAAAAATAGAACATTAAGTACGTACGAGTTTACAAAGGCTGCGATTTACAAACCGAGAGGTTTACGGCACGAACTAAAAGCGAAGCCTTGTCAAACAAGTTTCGTATACTATTTTTCTACCTGAGAACTCAAAATCAAGCGGTGAAGGTGCTATTTTGAGGTTAGAATGTAAAAAAAGATTATATATAATCTGATCTGTATTATCATAAACTCAAACCATCTTCAGAGTTTCCTTTAAAATAAGCTGTGAACCTAAGCCTATTTAAATTCAAGGAACTTAGTGATAAATTATCACGGCTTATTAACAAATTTTTTAGTAATGGAAAATTGAGAAATTGTTAAGAAAGGTGCAAGTAACTTGCGCATCACTTTTATGGTCTTTATGGTCTTTAATATTTGTCTCTTTCATACCTTACGTACTTTCTGAATGTGTAAGAGAGACAGACACTTACCCTCGGGCCTCCGTGCCTGCCACTTTCGCACATTATAAGAAGAAATCTAGTATCAGAATTTACACTGCACTCTGTTATTTTGAATACGGGATGATATATGTGTATTGATATATGTATTTTGGTTTACAAGAAAATTATAAAAACAACGTTATAAGATTATACAATAAAATTTATAGAGAAGAATAAACAAAGTACGGATATCCTTACAAGCCTAATTCAATTTATCACATTACTTTGAGCTGTAGTATAAAGAATAAGTTATTAAGCCATATATGAGTTAAGTAGGTGTATCACTGTCCTTGATTGACACTTTTGTCAGTCACTCGACAAATAGGAAACTTAGAAATACAAAAATCCCAAAAAATAAATCCAAGACTTTAGATTCCTATAACCCTACATAGTGAGCTTTTAAAACTCTGCCAACTCCCTCAACAAGAGCCATTTAAACCCAATAAATTTTTAAGTTGATTGAATGGTTAAATTATATTATAGTTTTTTATTACAGTATCATGGATAGCAAAAACTTTTAGATAGTGTAAAGTAATTCATACATTGTTTCTCTGTCAGTAGCGTAGCTGAGTATTCTCAGGGCTCACGGTGTGGGGGGTCGTAAGCTTAGGAAGGCCTGACTTAGAAGCGCATTATGAAAAAAATATCCAAATTAACAACAAACAAGCAAAACTCATGTCAGTGCAACTGCGATACTTATCATTATAAAAATTCGTATTTATCTTAATAGCAAGGAGGCATGATAAAACTTCTTTTATAAAAAAAAATTTTTCAAGTGTTATGATGCAATTCAACTTATCTCAACAATATTTCGAAAAAGTTAGTGTAACAACACTAGGAAAAACCAGCTTTTATGTACTCATGGATTGAGCATTTTTTGGATTTAAGTTGATTTTAAGCGTTTGGATAGCGATAATATTGTGATTGATGTAGGCTGACAACACCCTGTGTAATAGTTTTATTAGTGTTCTAAATTGATCATATTAGGCAGGGGGCTTCTATTTCAATTTTCGTGGAGAGGCCTAGTTTCTGGTTACGACACTGTACCCTCGTTCATCTGCCTTATCAGCTTAAATGAGATTCATCCATTTCTCTAGCAAATGTTGTATTCAGGTATTTTACTGGCAGCAACTATAATTAGTTATGTTAAAAGTAACGGTGAATATGGACTATCTTATTTTTTAGTCATCAGATTGCACAAATCACATTTTTTTTTTAAAACTGCAAAATGCTTATTTTCTGGTCAGTCGTTACTTTTAACAAACAATGGTGCTCAAGTAAACTAAGTAATTAAATAGTACCTGTATTGAGTGACAATTACTACTTTAGATCTTTTGTTTAATAGACACTTTATGATTATAATTTTGTTTTCATGTGTGGCTACTTGTAGATTAATTATATTATTACCTTGTTTTAGTTACATGTAGTTCAATTAAAATTGAAAACTTGTCATATTGTAGCTCTTTAATTACTTCAATGTAATGCGAATTATACAAAATTCAACGTAGATACTCGCAGTTTGTCACATATATTATATTGTAAAAGATAATTGAAACATTACTGCCTTTTTTTTATGCAAAATATAAACACTTTGATAAAAGCATCCTTAGGCGTGCTTAATACTTCAGAACTAGTTTTATCGATGGATTAATGTGTGGATGAAATTATTCTTATTTAAAACTTAACAAATAATTCACAATAATATTTACACTGGAAATATGTATATATATATATATACATACCCACTTTTGCAAAAGTATACTAATAATTCCTTGCTCAACTGTGCAAATGTTATTTATTTTAATTCATTGGACAGCGTACAACGCATGACGGTCGAGTGTAATGTCAGTATATAAGTCTAGTAATAAGTAAAAAGTCTGGATAGTGACAATTGTAAAATCGTTGTGATCACTACAATTCAACATATTGTTATAAAAAATAAAAAAATTTGAGCCAGATTACTAGTAGTATTAATAGCTCACTAAGTTCATCGTATAGTATTTTGCTCTTTATCATATACTTATCTAGTATTTTTTTATTATTGAACGTTTACAGCAACCAATAAGCGTGCATTTGAATACAATCGAAAAAATGTTTATTTGAACAAAATAAGTTTTCATCCCAATTATATAATAATAATTAAAATTAAAGAAATAATTTTTTTCCTACGTATTATTCAATAAATTTAACTTAATACTAATTTTATTAAAGTAAATACACTTTTTAATTCAAAGAAACGTTTATTCGGATTGACGAAGTTTTTTTTTCAGTGTAGGAAAAAAAGAAGTTGCGCCTAATGTGCATCCAAGTAGAAAGGATGTTGACCTTAGTTAACTTTAGTTAATAATAAGAAATATTGACATTTTAATAAAAATGTAATTAACATAGGCCAGGTGAAAAAAAAAAACTTTAGCATTGGCTTGGGTACTTCTTTTTCCCAACTTTCGAACATAGAGCTGTACTACTTCAAGCGTCTAAATTATATACGTTGTTAGTGATTTTAGAAAAGTTTTTGTTATGATACATTAAATAATGTGATAATCTCATTACCCAGTAAGGCAAAAAAAAAAAAAAAAAAACTAAGTCTTTTAACAAGCTAGAACCAATTGCTTTTTTCGATGAACTTTCTACCACACACACTTTATAAACGTTGGACTTGACGTATCAATACATGGTCCTGACAAAACACGCATAATATGTACAGAATTACCGTCAGTGACTTGATATTTTGAAAGCAAAGAACAGAGAATATAATTAAGTACACCAAGTCAAAAAATCCGAGTCATTCCCAAGCCAAAAAATAAACAGACTTTTAAGTTGAGCTTCAGACATTACATACCTAGTCATGTGTGTGGAGACAACAAACGTACGATAAAAGTATTTCAGTGACCTATTATCAAACATCATGTAGGTAACTCAAAAAACAAATGTTTTTAATAATCTGTGTATGATTCGATTTGTTGTGTTTTTGAAAAAAACGTACCTAATTTTTTTTGGTTTCATTTATTTTCGAATAACAATATCTAACAAAACAGTTGGTTTTTTAAATAAACTAGACAACAGTAGAAGACATAACGAAGCTTGAATTTTGTATAAGTCTCTAAAGTTAAACTTTCTTATCTTATCCAGCATTATATCTATTCGTATGACAGTTCAACTACATCTGACGAAAAACTGAGCTTATCGAAAGACACGCCTTATCTTTCAATGTCTACTACTCTTTTGTGTCCACACTTAAACTAGTCATTGTTCGAAATAATTATAGCTAGTACAGCTGTGCCATTCACACTCTCATTGTGTGACATACCACTCCTTGAAACCGTAAAAAACACAGTGTAACGAAAAATCTTACTTGAGTGCATTGAAAAACTTTTCGGTGATGTAGTCCTCGCACAGCGAGTTCTCAAAGGACAGGTAGAAAAAGTATCTGGGCTCGACCTCGGACTTGAAGCAATCCTGATCCCTCCTGCAGCCAGGGTTGGCTGATGAGCAACTGCCGTAACTAGCCACGGGCATGTGCTTCTCGAGCTCAGCGACATACGCCTCACGCCGACCACGCGTGTTACAGTTGCTCCTGTACCAAATCGCCAGGTCTTTCTTTCCCTTGATGATCCGATCCTCGTCTCCTTCATTTTCTGCACTCATGGATTCATCCACTTTCCACTCAAAGTACTCCTTTGCACTAGGTACTGCGACGAGGCTCTCGTTGTCTCTGTCTACGATATTGGCGTACGTCCAGACGATGTCACTATCAAAATGGTACGTCGCGGTGACATTAAAGTAGCCATCGAACTCAGGCCCAATGTATCGGTTCACTGGGCTCTCGAGCGCCACAAAGACATACTTCTGGCTGGGCCGCCTCCTGTCTGGTAAATCGTTGGTGCTGAGCTCCCCGTTGATGCCATGGAAGACGATAGCGTCAAAGTCTTCGACACTCCTTAAGGATCTGTTGTGTGTGGCGAAACAATTGTTGTAAATTGGGCAGTCTCGGGCCACGTACCCCATACCCAAGTAGAAGTCTTCTTCGTTGAAAAAGGTGTTCCAGTACAGGATTGTCTTGCGATTGAGTTTAGTGGTTGCAGTGGTGAAAGAGGAAGTAAAATGGCTGGATAGTCTGGAGGGTACCTTATATTGCACTATTAAAATATAACAGAGTACACCTGTCGAAGCAAATGCTCCAAAAAAGTACTTCATGTCTTACACACATATGAACGACTATACTTTGGCGATGCTTACTCTACAACTTATCGTTTTTCTTTTACTTCTTATCTTCACTGAAGCATAGCTTACGACTGTATGTGTAGAGTTTCGTTTCTTTTGTTAATTTAATTAGTATTTAATCACCTGTGACCTGTTTTAATATTAAATACTGGCTTACACCGATTTTTTTATGTACGTAAAAATTAGTTCCATACCGTAGGTGTTTGCTACGACATTTTTTTATACATCAAATAATAGCATTTTAAATGAGCTGTCAGATTAAATTCAATGCGAGGGAATCACATTGTTATATGGTACTATAATGAGAAAATTCATTATACGTATGTCAATTGTTTTTAATCGATACTTTAGATGATCACTATAAATGCGGTTAATACGAAAATAAAAAAATTTAGGAAATTAAACTATCGAAATTCATAACCCTTGTCTGTCCTCTTCATAGAATCTATTAAAACTTTTTAAACGGTACTTAATGTATTAGCCTTTACGATTATGAGAAGTAGTTTATGTATAATTTTTAAAGTATAATAATTTTAATTGGAGAATAACATTTTATTATTAGTCTTAGTTTTTTTTTGAATGGCACTAGAATACATGGAACATACAGATTATGGATCAAATGATATAAAGACGTGCTGAATAATGTAGGGAAAATTATGTGAAAACTGTAGTTTTTGAAGTTTATAATGTTTAAAGGAATATACTCTTCCACTTTCTAATGGCAAGCTAAAAGAAGTTGTTGTTATTTGCAATAATAGACTGATAATAAAATTTTTTATTGCAAAAAATTTTTGTATTATCTTTATGTATTTTTGCATCACACTGCTAGAGCACTTTATCAATGTCGTTGAAAGGGAAGCTCAAAAAAGGATCAATAAGCAATTAAATTATCAGTTCGTGATTGCAAAAAACGCCAATGTTTGTTATCTCAGCTTTCGAGTAAGATATAGCATTTTTTTTTTAATTTTTGTTCTCTAATGACAAATGCAATAACGTTTGTTGGGAGAGAACATATGCAAAATTTACTGAAACATTTGCAATTGTTTAGGTTGCAAAATAAAATTTTTGTGGCAAAACGTCAGAATTCACTATAATCAATTTTTTTTGTTTTTGTTTTTTTTTCACTTTTTTTCATTAACATATTATTAACAATAAATAATAAATTTTTAAGAACGTTAATTTTATTAATTTTCATAGGCATTGAATATCTCTCAAATGTTTTTACAGTATATCAATGTAATGGTGTTAATAAAATTCAAAATGTAAGCCGTCATTTAACTAGGATAACATTTGAATTTGAATTGCGCCTGCTCCTGCCAAGCAAAATGGCGGCCTTACTGACTTTCTGGTAGTAGAAAAAATAATCTGACTCACGCCTTTTTTACAATTATTTCAATTTCTAGTCCGTTTACCCATATTTCTCACGACGGAATTCGAAAGATGAAGTTAAAATCTACAATACGTGTATACTCGTAATACCTGACATTTTTGATGGAGGTTACAAATCGTTATTTTTTGTATGTCTGCCATAACCGCTCCTGTTAAAAGAGCGAATTTCAAGCGTTAATTTCTCCAGATTTTGTTCGATAAACATTATAAATAAAGACACCGTCAGATTCGGCGTAATCTAAACTATTTAATGACATACATCTTATTTGGTGACACTAGGGCAAAGGAGCCTCCTTAACACGTGCCCTCAGATACATTTTGATTTCCTATTGAAATAACACAGGATTTCTTTAGTTTTAAGTTTGTTTAATTTTTTTGAAAACTTTAAGTACTTATTTTTTATTTTTAAATAATACTTTTTGATTTTATACGATTTAGACTTCATAAATCAATTTTTTCCGTTTCAAAATAAGCAAGTTAAAAAAATTAAATTTTGGCCTCCAACGCCTTCGTGGAACAAAAAATCCAGAAAATCAAATTTTCAACTCGCTTATTTAGTGCTAGAAAAAATTGATTCATGCAATCCAAGTCATATGAAATTAAATGGTAGAGTTTAAAAATCTGGAAAAAAGACAACATTTTCGAAAAAATTAACCAAAGTTGAAATTAAAAATCTTATGTCATTTAAATAGAAAATTTTTTTGGTATAGATTTTTATTTTGGGATACACCGAAGGGACCCATAAGGGGTTTGATCGAAAAAAAAATTTTTGATAAACATGTTTACCTTTACATAACAAAAATGTCTAATATGAAGGTTGATGCAACAAATACTATTTTTCTCATAGTACATCACAATACCAGTAAAATGAGCTCTATTTCGAAGGTGTACCTGAAAAAAATTTTTTGTATCAAATTTTTTTGTGAATTTGCTCATATAATATATTATTCGAAAATATTAATTTTGAGTACGAAGCCCGTTCAATTTTTGTGTTCACATATAACATTTTATTAATATTTTTCAGGTACAAATAAAAAGACAAATTCACTGTATGGATGCATTTGAACTCAAGACAACCTGTAATGGTGCACATATTTAGCTGACTCAGTGCCTCTTTTTATACCAGTGGTTTAAGAGAATACACTGTCAGCTCATGAAGTTGTAAGGTTTAAGGTCTCATTTTTTCTGTAATAGATAAACATGGAGTCCTCTTAAGATACGGCAGAGATTTTTTAAAGTAATATTTTTTCTATCTCTCACGTAAGGTACAGTGACAATGACTATCCAATAGGCAAAGTTTTAAACATGAAGGAAACCAGAAGTATATTTTTGCGTGATTTACAGTTATTCTAATCTCTATAAATACCAATGCTATTCTTAGTAACGTGTTAAAAAAAAAATTAGAGGTACTAATAAACGTTAAAGTAGTTGTATGCTAAAAAAATTCTCCTATCAGATTCGTCAAATCAAGTGTTCTAAATGATTGAATTTCTACTGAGACACAGACAGAAAAAAGTTTAAAGTTAATCGAATGGTCCGCTTGTTATTTCAGTCGCAGTGCGTTAAGCATAACTCTTTGACTGCCACCTCATCGTTCGAAGCATTTATAGCCACGTATATTTGACCACAATACTGTCATCTCGCGCACACCCATATCTCGGTAAATACCACTCCCTGGGAGAAAAAAAATACAATGCAACGAAAAATCTTACTTGAGTGCATTGAAAAATTTTTCGGTGATGTAGTCCTCGCACAGCGAGTTCTCAAAGGACAGGTAGAAAAAGTATCTGGGCTCGACCTCGGACTTGAAGCAATCCTGATCCCTCCTGCAGCCAGGGTTGGCTGATGAGCAACTGCCGTAACTAGCCACGGGCATGTGCTTCTCGAGCTCAGCGACATACGCCTCACGCCGACCACGCGTGTTACAGTTGCTCCTGTACCAAATCGCCAGGTCTTTCTTTCCCTTGATGATCCGATCCTCGTCTCCTTCATTTTCTGCACTCATGGATTCATCCACTTTCCACTCAAAGTACTCCTTTGCACTAGGTACTGCGACGAGGCTCTCGTTGTCTCTGTCTACGATATTGGCGTACGTCCAGACGATGTCACTATCAAAATGGTACGTCGCGGTGACATTAAAGTAGCCATCGAACTCAGGCCCAATGTATCGGTTCACTGGGCTCTCGAGCGCCACAAAGACATACTTCTGGCTGGGCCGCCTCCTGTCTGGTAAATCTTTGGTGCTGAGCTCCCCGTTGATGCCATGGAAGACGATAGCGTCAAAGTCTTCGACACTCCTTAAGAATCTGTTGTGTGTGGCGAAACAATTGTTGTAAATTGGGCAGTCTCGGGCCACGTACCCCATACCCAAGTAGAAGTCTTCTTCGTTGAAAAAGGTGTTCCAGTACAGGATTGTCTTGCGATCAGCATCGTCGGTGAAAGTATAAATGGCAAGATTCGAAACAGTGCGTGGTGTCACGTAATATAGAACGCAGAGACTACAGAACGCGACTGTTAGTACGAATATCACGAAGCAGCGCCGCATGGCTTACACCCACGTATGCACGTACCTACGGATTAATTTTCTTGTGGTCCATGCTCGACTTTTTTATCGTCTTCCTTTTTTTTTCTTCTCTTTGCTGTGTTGTGTACAACCGGCAGTGCCGAAGACTTTCTCCTTGTCGTCGTCGTCGTTGTCGCCGTTGACGTGAAACCACCTGCTTGGCCCCAGCATACTGGCTCATCCGACTAATCCTTCTCCACGTTTCAATTTTATGATTTTATCGTTATCTTGTTGGCTCTACCTTTTTAAAGATAAGAGGAGATAAAAAATACCTTGCTACAAAAGCAAACAGTAAGAAAGTCGAGAATCTGTAAGCAATTCTGTTTTTGACCTGCTGTTGGCGAGCAAGGCACTCGGCAAACTGACTACAGTATACCACACTAAAAGAGTGAAAACAAGCACAGTCACAAACCAACTGGTTGACGTGCGTGTTCCCCTGCTCCACGCTGGCCATATTTCTCATCTCTTTCTACCTTCTTTCCCTTGCTTCGTGTTTAGCTTGCTTTCTGATTATTGCTCGACGTCACAGCAGCTGATTCATCCAACCAGATTCGGCGGTGTACCTTTACATTTTTTATGTTCCCATTTGATTGATCGGGTGTACAATGTTTACACAAAGTCAGAGGACTGTACCGTACATCAGCAAAATCTGGTTTAACGGAAATACTTGCGGATCAAGGTACAGTGAACGCGTTCGAGCGTTTACAGTTGAAAATGGAAAAAATCCATCTTGTTTACTTTTGGGTAATTTTATAATGTTGACCGGTACAGGTAGCTTCAAATTTTGGTACAGCCGATGAAAGAGATCGGTAATGTTTGACGCGCAGATCGCTATACTATGGGAAATCGGATAAGAATGTGTGCGCGAGAAAGTAGAGGAATTCACCTTCCCCACTTATTTGCTGCTACACTGCGCAGCGCAAGGTCGTAACTACGATTTTTTGAATGTACGTGGACATATGGATGCAGCTGTGAGTGTGCAATACTGACACACAGACAATAACGTGGCAATTTCTTTGTTGAAACATTACGAGTTGTGCAGTTTTTACTGCATAAAGAAAAAAAAGAGGGATTTTTTATCGATTCTTAAAATAAAGCCAATCTTCAATCCTCGCGTGTTTCACATAATTATTTAATGAGTTAGTTTGATAGAGGTAGCTCAACTTCGAGCTGTACAAACTATTATTGTTATTTAGTAGCTCGAGTAATTGCTAGCAGGAAAACTTTTTCAGCTCTAACCCAATAAATTATTGGGTGGGATAAGAAATGCTACGTACATTAAAATATAATCGCATCATGAGTTGTAGTTTTATAGGAGTCGAACTAAAAAGCGCTACCTTTATCCAAATTGCTAACTCCATAGTGAATGTAAAAGATTAAAAATGTATAAGCTGTGAATTTTTGTGTTTAGTAAATTAGACGACTTATACACCATTCTACCATTCCGCATTAAAGTACAGCAGTTTAGATAGTAGTACGTTCGCACATTTACAGACAGTTGTAGTTTTGGACTTTCCGATACCCATTGGACGCTTGGTCTACGTAGGTACTTATAAGTCACATGAGAAAAAGGGACGGTTTTGACTCTTTGCGTCTGTCTCTTTTTAATCTACAGTTCCTTACTGGAGTCAGGCACAACCTTGAACCTCAGTGCTAGAGAGGCAAATCAATACTTTCCATTTGTGTATGTGCTTACGCATCCCACACACACTTTTACACTTTAGACTGCACGTGCATTTACTATATGCTGTAACATGAGGAATATTCATGTTATGCATGCGCACGCTTTTGTTGACAAGATAAGTATGATGAGAGTGAAACTTGATAACAAAAGCGGTCTATTGTCTGATGCTTTTTTCTTCCGTGTAAGTTATGTAATTTAAAATAACAATGTGTACTGGATTTTTAACGAAGAGGCTCACGTATGGAGACACTGAGCCTCAAAAGCAAAAAAATTTCTGGATTTAACAACTTATTAGTACGCTGTGGCTTATTTTTCATCGATTTTATTAATTACATCGAAATATGTTAATCCTGTTAGGTTCGTTCCTAAGAAATGCATAAAAATAAAAATTCTTAACATTTCATAGTATCTTACAACTAAGACAAAGAATTATAAAACAGAAACTCAAAAGTACACTGATACAAAGATAAATAAATGGAAACAAAAGCCCCTGACAACAGATAAATGAAGAGACGAAGTTAAAAAGATTCAGTGAAAATACATATTTAAAAACATCAAAAAAAAAGTCAGGCTTAGAAAATTATACGCAATTCTTAAGATGACTAATAAAGAGATCAGAACCAACGCGGCGATAAATGTAAATTATGTAATTCAAAAAACTTTGCAAACATAAAAAAGATATTTTGATAAAACTATCAACATAAATATAAATTTGTATATGTAGAGATTCATACCCATGGCATAAAAGTTGAAATAAAAAAAATAATTTAATAAAAAAAAAAAAAACAATAACCAACCAAATGAGCAGCTAAACTTAAAAAAAAATTTAATTTTTTTATCCATTGCACAACCAAATTTTTTTCTAAAGCGATAGGTATGACTTCATTCGTATGTATTTTTAAAATTGTTTTCATTTGTTAATATTGAGCCTTTTGTGATAGGTTTGTAGATACTTTTGTAGCAGTAGTTTTTGTACCATGGTCACGATGTAAAGGAATCTCGTTCAAACGGTGGCATTTTTTTAAGTTTGTGCACAAGGTCCAAACATAATTCTTCTTTTCAAGGGCGCAAAGTTGTACTTTACGCTTACTTGGCACCTATGGTAAGAAAATTATTTTTCTTTCATCAAGTTATTTATTGTGACATTTGAACGTTTACAGTCCCCTAGTTGGAATATCGCATTTGTCACACAATAGACTCCAACTGGGGCTATCCTACGAGCCCTTGGGCCACAAAATAGCCCCGGAGACGACGGCACTTATCCGACGAAAACTATCATTTCCGCCCTCGGGTGGTTTTGGGAGGCTGGTACTTCCTCGGGCAAAAAAGCAGTTTTCCGGAACTCGTTCGAAAAGTCTCATTTACGAACCTCGTTACGTCCCTCGCCGTCAGCTCGGGCCGCAAACCTCTCGGTTCGCAAACAGAGACTTTTCAAACTCGTAGGAAAACTACCATTTCTTACCATGGGTACAAAGTGCAGCTGCTGCTTTGTGCCCTTGGGTCACGCTTTGCGCCACTGTAATCATTTTGAGCTCATGAGAAGAAAAATTTCTCACGCCCTCCGGGCCGAAAGTGATGTACTAGGGAAAAAGTGTGCCCACGGGCGCAAAATTTCAATTACAAAAATTTTCAAAAACTTAAAAAAGTGTTATAATACGTTATTTGATATCATAGTTTGAATATTATCAGTGACAATATAATGACAAATTATATTCTGATGAATTTCTAATATATTGTCATCAGACAATTAAAAAATACGATTTACTGATACATAAGGGTGAAGTGTAACATTATCATTTATTCAATTCTAAATAATCCCATACATTGGTATAACTTTAAATTATTTATGTTGTGTAGTATCAAATGAAGCTATAAAATTTTTATAAAATTGAGTTTATGTACAGTTTCTAAAAAATGGAAATAAACTTTTCCGTCCTCGGGTGATTTTGGGAGGCTGGTACTTCCTCGGGCGAAAAAGCAGTTTTCCGGAACTCGTTCGAAAAGTCTCCTTTACAAACCTCGTTACGTCTTTCGCCTTCGGCTCGGGCCGCAAACCTCTCGGTTCGCAAACAGAGACTTTTCAAACTCGTAGGAAAACTACTATTTTTTTCATTACTTAATTTTTTTGAAGTAATTTTTTTCAATCGTAAAAATCTTTTATCTTGATTGAATAAACGTATCTTTGGACGTTTCAAGAATAGTTGAGAGTCTAAAAAATTGCTGTCGTTCATTGGATTTTGTTGGTGTTGAAGCAGCTAATTTGTAGTGATTTATATAATATTAATAGATCGAGTTGGGACTTTGGTTAGCTTCCAGAATATGATTTCATCATTATCGAATTTTACACTCAACAGTTAACTTTTTCACGATATTTTTTTTTTTTCCGCCCTCGGATGGTTTTGGGAGGCTGGTACTTCCTTGGACAAAAAAGCAGTTTTCCGATACTCGTTCGAAAAGTCTCATTTACGAACCTCGTTACGTCCCTCGCCTTCAGCTCGGGCCGCAAACCTCTCGGTTCGCAAACAGAGACTTTTCAAACTCGTAGGAAAACTACTATTTTTCTTCATTATTTTCAGACCACAAATACAAAAGCCTATTCATGTTTCTACGATGTCTAAGAAATGGTACATTACGTCACTAGGGCACAAAGAACAAGTACATGTTAACAAGTGGGGTACATGAGTACCCCAAGGGCATGGTTTTTGTATGTTGGTGCCCGAGAAGCGTATATTGTTTTTTCTACCGAGGGCACAAAGTGCAATTTCGCGACCATTGGCACACTTTGCACCCAGTCAATCACTTTGGGCCCCAGAAAGTACGTTTGGCCTAGAGGGTGTGAAAAACTTTTTTTTTTTAGGAGGCTGCAAAGTGTGACCCAAGGGCACAAAGTGGCAGTTGCACTTTGCACTTATGGTAAGAATTGATAGTTTTCGTACATTATGGTGCATGTCATCAGTGAAAGCACTAGGCCCGAGGGACTCCTTGTGATTAATGTGGTTAGATGTGCATTATGTACAAAATCCCATTTTTCCTACCAAGAGCTCACCTAACCCTAAATAACGCCCTTATTTACAATGTTTTAACTTGTATTTTCTTACAATTTTGAAAAATTAATTTAATTTACTTGCGACATCTTTAAAATCTGTACTTTAAATCATGCTAAATAAAATAACGTATTATCTAAGAAGATTTTTTTGGACTCTTGTAATTCCTTATCTAATGGTTATAACATTTGTTTTTAATGAAATCCGAAATGTTTGGTGCTGCAATGTTTCACGCACTTGTATCGGAAACAGATTTTTGCATAACTGTTGCGTCAACAAATGAACTTATAAACTTAAATCTCTTAAAAGAACTATGATATCAGTGAGATCTTCACTTTTTCGTTTACATTACAAACTAGTTAGAAGATGCAAAGATTAATTCTCATGAAGACCTTTTTTTCAAATATATGCGACATTTTTTTATCTATTACTTTGGACTCAAGAAATAGGACGTTTAAAACCTCATGATTTTTCAGTAAAGCTCGTGAAAATTAACTCGTTATCATTTATTTTATTTTTTTTTTTCATAATCTTCAATTCAACATCGCCATTCAAAGCTTAATTTTTATTGAAACTCTTAGGTTCAAAATAAAACTCGATCTTGTATCTCCTTTCATCCGGTCAATCACAAGTAAATAAAAACGAGGCTAAATAAAAATGTGTTAAGACTATATTTTATTCTACAAACCCGTAACTGATTACTTCTAGCGTAGAGATACCAGTATTTTCGTTAATACCAAAGCTGGAAATAATATTTTTTCTCCACAATGAAGATGGAAAAGCGTAAATGTACACGTTGACCATAGTAGATATATACTATAGTTTATTGTTCGGTGAGCTGGCTCTTCTCCTAAGACCGTCTGTGAAAACCATTGTTATCCTCACCATCATCTGATTGAAAACTAAATTGAAAAAAAGGGAGTGGGAGGGTAGCGCGGATGATTCAGAGAAAGTTTGGCTTTTGATTCCGAACGGCAGAAAGACGTCGGCACTTTGCAAATCACTTTTGCAGACGAGTCGGGACAGGACAGAGAAAAACCACACAGTCAAGAAAGTTTCTATTTTACTCTTCTTTTCTTTGGTTCGGGAGAGTTTCGCCTGTCGTGCGTCATTTAATGAGAAAGCTCTATCGTCTGGGGAATGTCGTAGCATGGAATTAAAATTCTCATTATTAACTATTTTGTTGATAAACTTTTTCCATTTTAATTTTAAGTTTCTTGAAAAGATATTTTGCCCACATTAAAAATAACTACGTTTGGGCTTAAAGTTCATTCACAATATAATTACGAGATCAATCATCTTAAGTTTCAAGTAGCTTCTTTTGCCACGTCAAGCAAATACTACTCAGACAGTCTATATTTTCAAGCAGAATAAAACAAAAACTAATTCTTTTGTTTTAAATATATCACAATTTATGTTGCTATCCAAATGTTTCCATGTACCAATCTATTAGCGCATGTTTTTATGTCAGAGAATTCAAAACTTATCTTGCCCCGTTAAAATACACAGTTGCCGTTATTTTTATTTAGTTAAAAAAAGGTTTTCTCTCGTTTCAACAGAGGGCGTGGAAACCATTCATTTCGAACTATTTGAAATAGAAAGAAAGGAAAAATTTAATGAAAAAAACGCGCTTGAGGATACTTTTCTGTCAATAAATTGGAAACATGATGGCTTGGGTACTGACTTTAAACGAGGGTGGTCTGAATCAGAGCCACTGAGTGAAATTACCATTAAAATATCCCTCTCCTCTTTCTGATCGACCGTTCCAAGCTTAAAACTACGTATATTTTGAATTAATTTTTTGAGTTATCGCTTTTTTGACACTGATGAGTTGACGGGTATTGATATTTAAAAATATGGAAATAAAAAAGTCTGGATAAAAGCAACACGTGACATTATATCGTTCATCAACCTGCTATACACTTATTCGTGTTAGCGATCTTAGGACGTGTCAAGAGCTATCTATCTCACTCGCTAGAATAAATTTAAATTTTATTGCAGGCCTAAAGCATATTATTGTTTTTCAACTTTGTTAACAAGTCAATTCATTACACTTGTATTATAAACTTGTTGTATTATCACCTGTCTTTTTCAAACGCCTTCAATTAAATTTTTTTCGATTTCAGTGCTACCAGACAAAGAGCCAAGGTTTGCGGAGCCTATTCCGAATGTCACAGTAGCACTCGGAAGGGATGCCAGTTTGCCATGTGTAATAGATAACCTGGGAACCTACAAGGTACGGAAAATATTAAGTTTCTTCAATTTATTGAATATAGCGTTGTCTATTTTATCAATAGCATTGTCCGATGTGGTATCAATCTACTCAGTGATGTTTATTTCTTTGTCTTATTTTAGCACTTTAATGTGGCTTGGGCGGTTGGTACCGTACCTAGGGTAAAGTGCCATTAGGGACTCTAAAAAATCAACAGTTTTCGACGGTAAATTTTTCAACAAATATAGTTATTTCGATAAATCTAAAGTACAAGATCAAGAAATTGCCAGAAAAGTACCGTGAAATTATAATTGTGAAAATTGGGAGATGTTGCGAGGTAAAACAAGATTAATATTTCATATTTTTTTCCGACTTTCTCTTAAGTTAAGTTATTGACCCTATATTTTTTAGAATTTAATAGACTTTTTGTAAAAGAAATACACAAGAACTGTTTTAAAGTTTTGAAGTTAATCAAGGATTTTCAAAGTTATAGTCGATTTTGTGACCACTGCCCATAAGAGTAGGTGTTCAATTGGTAAATTTTCAGTAGCGATTTGCGAGAAAATTAAGTGGTTGACCCAGTATTTTCTTATCGCAAACAAATTTGGTATACTTTATTTACACAATACCAAAATTTCAGAGGTTTTGATCAACTCGATAAAAATCGCCCAAGCCACCTTAATTGGTCTTTGAACGAGCCTGTTAAAGTGCAATCTTTAAACTGTAACAACAAGTAATACAATTATGAAATCAGTTTTATTTAGTTTAATCAGAGAGATTGTTGTATCTGATGTAACATGAATACTTAACTAGTTTCTCATACTAATTATTACATGCATTTTTGTCTCACATAATTTCTCACTGCTGGGAAGGGTTTTAGAATGCATTTGGAAAGGATGCCAAAAAATAGTCACAGAAATGTTTAACTAGATAAAAATTTCACAACTTAAAACAATCAATAAGATATTGCTTACAAAGGTTAAAAAAATAATGATACTTTTCTTTTCTCAAATATGTAGTACTTTTTTTACTATATTTTTAGTTGGATATTTGTACCATGATAGTGCTATGGTTAGTATAAAATACTTTCGTAAGAATAACCACTGGAAGTAGATATTTCAATAACAAAATTGAATAAGAAATTTTCTCATAAATCTCTTGTCATTAAAATCTTACAATAAATTTATACACTAAGATACAGTAATTGCTTAATAGATTTCACACTAATAAAGTTTGAAAAAACTTTAATATTAAACTGTGATCAGTACATATACTTAAATAGCTCTCAGCATCGAGTATTGTATACGTGCTACTGCTAAGTCTTTTATTGGCCAGCATCAGACAGATATTAACCAAAAAATAGACAAGTGTACAAAAAACATTTTTCTAGTATTAGATTTCATACAATGCAATTTTTGATTTAATGCAGTAAAATCTATTAAGAATCTATTTACAACAAGTTTTTGAAAAATGAAATAACAAAATTATATTTCAAAAACTTGTGGTTCAATCTACTTGGAACAAAAAAATTTATTTTACCACTCACCATTTTCTCCTAAATTTTGGCTGTACTAAAATAGTAGTGTTCCTACGAGTTTGAAAAGTCTTTGTTGAGACTTTTCGAACGAGTATCGGAAAACTGCTTTTTTGCCCGAAGAAGTACCAGCCTCTCAAAACCACCAGAGGGCGGAAAAGAATGTTTTCATTTAAATTAAATTACGAATATTGACTTTTTAACTTATAAATAACTTACGAATTTTCAATATTGACTTAAGACATTAAACAATTTTTTTTTAACGAGTCGAAAAACTTGTACTTAGAATGGAATAAGATTCTTTATATATTAAAACTATAAAGAATTCTCTTTTTACGATGGGTGCAAGGGCTTTAAATATTTTAATCCCTTTAAACTCATACACGGACAATATTAGTTTTTTTAGTTTAGGCGTTAAGTATGCCTAACTAGCCCGAAGGTACCGTTTTGGTTTTAAATTAAAAATACATGTTTTGCACTTGTAAGATCTCTACTCGTTGGTATACAATCGTGTGTTTTAAAAAAATGAAAATATATTTAGTAAACAAACTGTTTTGGAAAAAGCTGATTTCTAATTCAAGCAAAACTGATTTTTGCTAAAAAATACTTAATTTAAATACACCATTGACGATTTAATTTCTAAAAAAATAACTATCTTTTATGAAGTTAAACATTTTTCAAATAATTTGCTTTTTTAATTCATTAGTTATCATAAAATCATTGAAATTAAATGTAAAATTGATTAATACAAAAGAAATATATCTTAGATTAGGAATAAAATAATTAATTTTTTAGGTACGGTGATATATTTTAATTAACATATTGATTTAAACATTATAAAAAGTATATCATAATGTAGTATTAACTTCTCCAATTGTA